GGAGACCCAGAAAGGGCCGCTTGCTTGGCTGATCCGTCAGCCAGAGCATTTCCTTCTGTGACCTCATCACAAGGAGTTTGACGGGCAGCGCATTTTATAATGGCTATTTCAGAAGGGAGTAAAAGAGCAGTAAGAAGTGCATCAACATAAGACCCATTTCGGATGGGAGTCCCTGCAGAAGTGAGGAACCCTCGGTACTTCCAGAGTTTCCCATAATCGTGCACTACCCCGAAGACATAGCGGGAATTGGTGTAGATGTTAACGGACTGTTTTTCCGCTAGGGAGCAGGCACGGGTAAGGGCAATCAATTCAGCCACTTGGGCCGAGTTCACCCCTCGAAGGGAGTGAGCTTCCACTAAGTCATGGGGTGAGCATATATCATACCCTGCTAGAAGGATACCCTTGGGGTCCCTGAAACAGGACCCATCGACAAAATATATTAGTTCAGCGTTAGGTAAAGGGGTCTCTTTTAAATCTACTTGGGGAGAGCATAATGCAGTGGTCACCGCTTGGCAGTCATGCGGCTCCCCATCCCAAACAGTTGGGAGTAGAGAAGGCGGGTTGAGAACAGGTCAACGGGTTAGGGTCACATTTGGAGCATTTAGAAGCAACATTTCATATTTAGTCAAGTGAGAATTGGACCTGTGTTGGGTCGCTCCTTTTAGGAGGAGTAGGGTTACAGCATGGGGGACCAACACAAGGAGAGGGGACCCCAAAATGAGTGTGCACCATAATTGCCGCTGCAGCTACTGCTCTGAGACACGGGGGCAGTCCTGCCGCCACCGGGTCTAGAGGGGCGCTATAATAAGCGACAGGCCATTGGGAGTCCCCGTGTTCCTGAGTCAACACCCCCGGTGCTATTCCATCCTTCTCCTGACAAAAGAGGGTGAAGGTTTTAGAGTAATCGGGTATGCCCAAGGCTGGGGCACTAGCCAATTGTTCTTTAAGAGTTTTGAAAGCGGTTTCAGCTGTTTGGGTCCAGGGGAGGGGTTCCGGCCCATCCTTGTGGGTTAGGTTATGTAAAGGCTTGGCAATAGAGGCGTATTCAGCTATCCATTGCCGGCAGTAGCCTGCCATTCCAAGAAAGCCACACAGTTGCTTTTTAGTAGCGGGTCTGGGAACCTGTAGTAGTGCTTTAATTCTATTGTGAACAAGTGTCTCTCTCCTGCGGTCAAATTGTGCCCTAAGTAGTGGACTCAGGGAAGACAGAGATGCAGCTTTGATTTGGAAGCTTTATGTCCCCTTTTTGCCAGAGTCTGCAGCAGGGTTAGAGAATCCACCTGACAAACCTCCAACATTGGAGAGGCTATCAGCAGATAGTCCACATATTGGACTAAAGTGGACCCTTTAGGAAGCGTAACATTCTCTAGGTCCTTCCTGAGGATCTGGGAGAAAATGGTAGGCGAATCCGTGTAACCTTGTGGCAGTCTGGTCCTTGTATACTGCAGGCCCTGAAAAGTAAAGGCAAACAGATACTGGCTTTCTGGGTGAATGGGGATGGAGAAAAAGGCTGAGCATAAATCTACTACTGTGAAGTAGGTAGCAGACGGGGGGATGCACGAGAGAATGGTTGCAGGGTTGGGCACAACTGGGAACAGGGGGTGTACTACTGCATTTACAGCTCTCAGGTCCTGAACAAAACACCATTTCCCTGTACCCAGTTTTCGGACGGGTAGAACTGGGGTATTACATTCACTACTAGTTTGAACAATAACCCCCTGTTGAATTAAGGAGACCAAAACTGGCCTGATCCCCTCCTCTGCAGCTTTAGAAAGGGGGTATTGTGGGATTCTGGGAAGGGGCTTAGTCGGGTCTAACCGAATTTTAACAGGCTTTGCCGATTCTATACAGCCCACTTGATTTGGATGTTCCTCCCACAAAGCTGGGGGAACTTGGGCCAATATTTCCTTTTGAACTGGGGAGAGATCAGGGCCTGTTGTTTTGTCGGGGGAATGTGCCTGCAGGACCCCCAAGACCTCGTGCTGTGCGGCCTCCGGAGCCTCCAGGAACACCCCTTTAGGAGTACAGAAGATAGAAAAGTCTAATTTACATAACAGATCCCTTCCCAGGAAGTTGACGGGGGAACAAGGGCTGAGGAGGAAGGCATGTTTTTCTGTCAAAGGGCCTATTGATATCAACAATGGGGTTGACACAGGATGGGAGATAAGGACACTACTGACCCCCACTGTGTTAATAACTTCCCCAGATAAGGGGGGGGGGGGAATTCCTCCACTCGCAGTGTGGACCGAGAAGCTCCGGTGTCCACTAAGCACTTTACTGGGGTTTTGTTAATGGTGCAGGTAACATAAGGGCCAGATTGATTCAAGGGGATAACTGGGGCAGTAAGGTCACATAAGGTCTCATGGCTGTCCTATCTATAGTCCACCTGTGCGGGTGGTGGGGGTGCAGCCAACGGGCCCTCCCACTGCGGGGCCTGGGCCCTTCCTTGCTCTCTCTAGTCCCATCGATTTCGATGGGGGCAGGCCCTTTTGATGTGTCCCTCCTCTCCACATCCATAGCAGTAAAAGGCTGGCGGGCGTCCGGGGGCTCCGCCTGTTCGTGGCATAGCCACGGAGGGTATTTCTGCCCTGGTGTTTCCTTCCCCATACCTATAGGGTCGATTGGGTTCCTTCCCATTGTACGATTTCCTTTCTTGTATCTTCGGGTTTAAATTATTGATTTGGAGAGCCATTAGGTGGGTCTCCGCTTCTTCCCTTTTTTTCTCGCTTTGGTGGTAATAATGTTGGGCTTCAGCTAGGATTTCCTTTGAACCCTTTCCTTCCCAACCCACTAGACCCAGGCGTAATTGTTCACTAATTTTTGGGCGGAGACCCTGGACGAAAACGGCCACGATAGCTTGCTCTGCTTGGGTTCCAGTGTTATTAATGCCCGAGTATTTTTCAAAGACCGATTTTAACCGGTCCAAATAATCAGCAGGGTTCTCCCCTTTACTTTGTTTACAAGTGTTTATTTTAGTCCAATCGGCCTTTGGTGGGCAGACCTTAAGAATAGCTTCTAACAATTTTCCCCTTATCTCGGCCAATTGTTCTCTATCTGGCTCCACTTTGTTCACTCCATTGTTTCATAAAGATGCCTCTGTGTTTCCTTGGGCATTACGCTTCTCAGGAATTCGTCTAAGTCTCCCATAGTGGGATTATAACAATAACAACCTCCAACTCCTCTTTAAAGCGGAGAGGGTCATCTCCAATTTTTGGGAATTTAAGGCCCAGAGTGCACATATCTGTTGGGCTCCAAGGGGCATGGACCTCCGTTACCCCACCGTCCAGTGCAGGGAGTTGTCTTAAGGGGAAATTTCTTACCTCATGGGAGGTCCCAATTTTCCCATCTGGACTGGTTTTGAGCTTCCGTACAAGCTCCCTTCGACCCTTACTTACATCTCCTAAGATATCCTCCTCCATTTCTCCAAATTTACTGGGGCGGACTTCCTCTCCTGCCCCCCCCTTTTTAATTTGTCCCGGCGGGCCACTTGCTGCCTAGTACGGTAGGCTGGGCCAGGAGATATGCGCAGCATCTCAGCCAACTGGTCTGCCTGATCGAAGATGCGGTGCATACATTTCTCCAATTCCCCAACTGGGGAACTTGGAGAGGATACTAAGGGCATTATAGATTCCGTGGGGGAAGAGGGAGCGGGCTGGTGTCCACTCGCCTCGTCCTCATCCTCGAAGCCCGCCCCCCCCCATAGTGGGGAACTTGCTGTGGCTGCTCCCCCTCTGGTTGCCCCTGGGGTACCCGGGCTTGCCTAGGCGGTCTCCCATGATCCAAATAAAAATCTGTAAGATCTTCGGGGGGTTGGTTATAGGGAGGGGGTACCGTCGGGGCCCGAGGAGCTGAGGGTATTTGTCTAACCGGGAATATGGGGGCAGGCAGGGGAGTTAAGGGTTTAGATTGAACTTCCTTCAGTTGTTTTTTTGCTTCTTCTAATTGGGCCTTAACCTTCTCATGGGAGTTATTTAGACTTCGTTGAATGGACTCTCGACGTCACTGGGTTTGATTTGCCTTGTAAACTAATAAGGCACCCCGAAGGTGCAAAATCTTTTTAAAATCAAAAGTCCCTTCCTCCAGGAACTGCAAACTTGGATTATCCCTTGTGTTCCAATTCCACTCCTTTAAAAATTTGCAGGTCAGGGGCCCATAGTTGGAATGCATATACGTGGCCAGAGTACCCTTTTCTGGCGCTGGGACCTGCTTGGACTGTGAGGTTCCCATGGTCAGATGGCTTTGCCTCAACACTCCCTAAATGATCAAACAAGACAGTATTACAGTGATAAACCCCGTATTGCCTAACTGTTCAGTGAATATTATGGCGTTAAATCAATTAAGCAGCCCAGCCGCTCATAAACAAGGAATGGCGTTTCTTTTCCCTTCACCAGGCCCCACCCCACGCCCAACAGACTTGCAGTGCCTCTATCGGTGCCGGGCATTGTGATCTGGCCAGGGATGGCACAATCAGAGTTCTCTCACTGAGGCACAGGTGATCAGTTAAACAAGCAGAACCAGTCACTCGTAAACAAGGAGTGTGTCTCCCCTTCTTCCCCCACCCCCCCGGGCCCTACATCAAGCCCGGCAGAGCTGTAGTCCTTCTGTCAGTACCAGATGCAGCACCTCGGCCAGGGACGACCCGAAAGGCCTGATTCACCTTAATTCTATATGCATATAGTGAATTAGATCTGGACAAGGCAACCCCCCCCCTTTTTCCGTGGGTGAGGATTAAGTACTTAATGAAGCAATTTGCTAGAAAAAAACCACTTCCTGACTATTAAAAGCAATATTTCTCTAAATCCTAGCCACTAGAACACTGTGGTAAGCCTCGGTCTCTTTTCCAGGCGAGGCCACCTCCCCAAGCCTCCTTTACAGGCGAGGCCAACTCCCCAAGCCTCCTTTTCCAGGCGAGGCCAACTCCTCAACATTCACACCAATGGGGAGGATTTATAAGGGAGGTCCTCGCACACACCCCCTGTCAGCAAAGAGCACAGGCCCATCTTTTAAAGGAACGAGGTAGGATACCCTATTGCCTCTGGTACAGCGCGATTTCCAGGGACTTCCCCTCTCTCCGAGCAAGGGGAGGGAGCCCACGGCTCCAAAAGGAAGATCTGCAAGCTTCAAAAGGAAGATCTGGGGTAAAGTTTTGGTCGTAGGTCAACCACACAGAAAGGTCAGGAAAGGCGCAGTCCCCGCACACCCCTCCCCCAGCAGAGAGCACCGGCCCGCCTTCAAGAGAACGGGATGGGTTACTCTACTGCCTAGGAGTACGTGGGCAGTTTCCCAGGGCCTCCCTGCCCTCCGAGCAAGGAGGGGCTCCTCAGCACTTCAAGGGAAACGGGTGGGATCACCTTATGGCCCACAATCACACAGCACACCTAATTCGGGACTTCATTACGGCATTCTGTCACACTGCCAGCCTATTGCTGGTGGGAACCCTGCCAACCCCTCTCGGCTGCTCCGGGACTCCCTGGATGCCCAGCTTACTTCACAGTAGGGATCAAGGGATTCCTTGGATTTCTGCCCTACCCACTGTAGGATCCACCTTTTCCCAGGGTCACCCAGCAGCCGGTCAATCGTCCTCCAGGGGGACCAGTCCCCGAAGGCCGAGCCACACGAAGCAGCTGACTAACACAAAGTAGGAAGCTATAAAAGCAAAGCACAGGAGCTTGGCGTACTCCTTGTTCTCGCCGGGTATCATCACATAATAAACAAATTCCCCGTCCTCATGGGGTCCAAACTACTTCCCCTTTCTCATCGGGATCAGAAATCTTAATCTACACTTCCTCACACTGTCCGTGCACAGCTCCTCCCTTAATAGGACAGTGAGCTATGCCCGGACATAGGGAGAAAGCATCAAATGTTTCCCTGTCAGTTTGTCTATCCCTAGTCCTCGAGCCTTTCCACCCGAGTTGCAGCAGCCACCCTGTATCAGTGATGGTTTCCTTTATGTCCCGGGGAGACCACCCAGCCTATTCACCCTCTGTTCCTGCCTGAATAATCTGTCATCCGAAACTTGTTTTTATACTGGGCTGGCACTCTAAAAGTGCTCAACTGCCAAACAGATGTCCCAGTAATTTCACTGAGGCTGTCCCAAGGAAACCGTTGGGTCTAAGACTCTCGTGTATTCATAACACAAAACAGACAGTTCCCGACGCCCCCCCAGGCTTATAGCCTAAGTAAACAATGATAGAGATAGCGCAGCATGATGCAAGAGATTAAACAGCAGCCTGCCAAGTAAGTGTGCCAGCAGAGCAAGCATCAGTCAATTGAGTCTGTTTTAGCAAAGTTCAGATCACAGCGTACCCGCCCCGAGCCAGAGCCTACAGGCAACTTCCCACCGAAGCCCAAATGTGGAAACGGACTGCGGTCCTCCTGCCCGGAGGGATATTGAGTGATCCCGGACGAGCCCCCAAATTGTTGTGGAAAAAGTCACCCACGCATTGATTTTAGTTCACAGACTCAAGCCTGAGGCCAGTTTATTGCAATACATACCAACGCGTTGGGGGGACAGTCCCAAAATTGTCACACCTAGCAGCAGCTCGCAGGCTGCTTTATTCCGTCAAACCGCAAGCATAGTACAAATAATACGTCATTTATGCGAAAATAAGAGTAGGGGTCTGTCCCTTTTTCCCGGTAGCTTCTTCATTATTTACGAGAATTGGGAGCCTATTGGGTGGGGGGTTTCTTGGTGGTTTTGACATGGGTGGTACTTGGCACCAGCGGGGGTGTTGTTTTTTGTCAGGGTACATATTGTTTTCCCGGGAGGGCCTTGGGGTTTATTACAGGATGCCCAAAGATGATATATGATTGGCTGGTGGCAGGTAGCTGGAGGAGTTGGCCTTTACCAGAAGCAATTGCTTCATATAAGCCGTTACTATGTTTCATCAGCAAGCAGTTATCATGTTTTTTTATCTATAAGCGGTTATCACATTGCTAAGGCCTTTCGCATGACTTCCTCCTCAGGTCACAGCCCATGACCGTATTTGGCAGAGAATTGCACAGCTTAGCTTTGTTCAGGTTCTGGCCTGTACTGTTTTATGTAAAGGCCGTCTGTGCAGTCAGCTTTTGTCACAGGGCTTGAATTTGGGCCTTCGGTTTTACTCTGGCTGTCATTAAAAAGGCTACCTAGTTCTTTTTCCCCACAAGTGTAACAGAGAGACTCTGCTACTGGGAGGGTTTCACTATGTGTCAGAGGGTTACACCCTGGTGGGTGTGGGCCAGGCATGTACTGGTATAAGGTCACTCTGTGCTTCGCAGTGTGGCAGAACCTAGAATGTCCATTAGCAGGGAAAAATCTGGGGGGAATCGGCTTGTGGAGTGGACAAAAGCCCCATCTGAATTCTCTCACATTGCCCTTCTCTCCCTGGCAGACTACAGAATAACGTCCACGTTTCGCTCCAGATCATCCCGTCCTCCCAGGGGAAAGAAAATGGCTGCAATGGAGCTGGCTCAGGTAAGGGATTATCAGGGAGCTGGTGATGGGTTCTGCTTGGAGAGAGAGGAGCAGTAAAGGCATAGGAGGGTGGGAGCTGCTAGAGGTGGTGGGAGATCGGAACTATCTAGGGTGGAGAAGGGGAGGGGACAGGATGTGACAAACTTGCTGAGACTTGTGTAATCTAGGGTGTAATGGGTTGTCACCCCGGTGTGCAGTCTGGGGGCCCTTCTCACACTGCTTTGCTGGAGATTCAGCCAGCCTCTCCTGGCCTTTTTATCACCCAACACGACAGCATGTGGCGCCACACACTCAGTTAAGCTACCTAAGTGCTTTACCTAAGCCACTCAAGGACAGACACAAAACAACCAACAATTTCCCAGCGATAAGTGATAGCAAATAGATCAAAGCAGATTACTTGGCAAATAACCAGAAATTCAAACTGAACCTAGCATACTAGATAAGAGGTGGGTAAACTATGGCCTGCAGGCCACATCCAGCCCGCAGGAACCTCCTGCCCGGCCCCTGAGCTCCTGGCCCGGGAGGCTAGCCCCTGGTCCCTCCCCTCCTCTTCCACCTCCGCGGCAGCCACAGCTTGCCCCGCTACTGGCACAATGCTCTGGGCGGTGGGGCTGCGAGCTCCTGGGGCAGTGCCACTGCAGAGCCCAGCCTGAACCGGTGCTGCGTGGTATGTGGCTGTAGTGCTGCCAGCCACCGGTGCTCCAGGCATTGGAAGGGGGCAGGGAGCAGGGGGGTTGGATAGAGGGTAGTGGTGGTCAGGAGGCGGGGGTGTGGATAGGGGTCAGGGAGGTCAGCAGGGCCGCTCAGAGGGCGGGGCAAGTGGGCAATTTGCCCCGGGCCCTGCAGGAGCCCCCACAAGAATATAGTATTCTATAGTATTGCAACTTATTTTTATGGAAGGGACCCCCAAAATTGCTTTGCCCCAGGCCTCCTGAATCTTAACCGGCCCTCCGTACAATTTCCCAAAGCCAATGCGACGCTCAGGCCAAAAACTTTTCCCGCCCTTTTACTAGTTGCATAGAATTTGAATCAGCAGTTTCTCATCCTGACTGATGATTGAAGCAGCCACCAGCACATCCCCCAGTTCAGTCTTTGTTCCTCAGGTGCTTCCAGGAGTTCTCTTGTCTGGGGAATGAGGCCAAGAGATGATGTCACACCCCACCTCATGTAGCTTTTCCATATGGTGGAAACCCTTTGTTCCAAACTCAGTTCCCAGTCCAGTTTATGGAAAAATACAGGTACCAAAATGGAGTTCAGTGTCATGTGGTCTGGTCACATGACTTAGCATGCCCTGCTTCAGCCGTGACTCATAGGCTGGCTGGAACATTCACAGGAAGGCTAAGCTCTTCCACGGTCGATTGTCTTTGTTGATGAGCCATCAGCACTGTCTGGCTTCTTCACTGTTGTACCTGAAAGGCTAGTTGTGGGTGTTACCCAGAGTAAGCACATTTGAAATACAGATACATAGTCAATATCCATAATTTCAGATACAAACATGATCTATGCACACAAATAGGATAATCCTATTCAGGAAATTATAACTTTTCCAGTGATCCTGCACATGATGCATCTTGCACAAAATACCTCATAATTATGTCCTAATCATATTATAATCCTACCACTATGGTGAATATGGGGTGTAGTGTGAGATAGGTCTTAATTTCAAGGCATAGGAGTTGGGAATGGAACTTCCTCTCTTTGTGGAACAGGAAATAACCCCCCAGCCAGGACTGGGAAAACTTCCCAGACTCCCAGTGCTGGAGCCTGAATCTACTGACACTTTATTAGTTACCACCACTACCCCCAATCTTTGTGGCAACTGCAAACTTTATCAGAGATGATTTTATATTCTCTTCTAGATCATTGATAAAAATGTGAAATATCACAGGGCCAAGAACCAATCCTTGCGGGAACCTGATAGAAAGAAATCCACTCGACCATGGTTCCCCATTTACAATCCCAGTTTTTAATCTATTTAATGTATGCCGTGTGTGTTTTGTATCTTTCTAGTTTTCTAGTCAAAATATTGTGCTGAACCAAGTCATATGCCTTACAGAAGTCTAGGTATATTACATCAGTACTATTAGCTGCGACCAAACTTGGATCTCATCCAATAAGGATATCCAGTTAGTCTGATAGGATCGATTGTGTCTAAACCTTTGTTAATGGGTACTAATTATATTAGCCCCCCTTTAATTCTTTATTAATGAAATCCAGTATCGGCTGCTCCATTCTCTTGCCCAGTATCAATTTTAGACTAACACCCTTGTAATGAGATAGGTCATCTCTTTTACACTTTTTAAATATTGGCACAGCCTTAGCTTTATTCCTGTCTTATGGAATTTCCCCAGTGTTCCAAATCCTAATTAAAATCAACATTAACAGTCCATCACGCTCCTCCACCAGGTCTTTCAAAACTCTTGTTATCTGGACCCACTGATTTAAACACATCTAACTTTAATAGATGGTGTGTAACGTCCTCGTGAGTTACTGTTGGAATGGAAAGACTGTCGGCGTCAACATCTTATGATAAGAGTTACATCATCTGTTTTTTTCTCCAAATCCAGGAGAGAAATATTTATTGAACGCTTTTACCTCTTCTGCATTATTTTTGATAATTCTGCCATTTCCATCTAGTAATTTACCACTACCATTGTTAGGTTTAATGTTGTACTTAATATACTTTAAAAAATTTCTTTCTTATTGTCATTGATGGATCATTGATTTCTGATAGCGTCCCTTACCAATTTTCTACAATTCTGACCTTCTAACTTATATTCTTTACTATGAACTTTCCCTTTCTTCCATATATTTTATTTGGAGAGTGTTGGGATTCCTAGCAGGGAGCCACCAGCAGGGTCCCAGAGACAGCCCCATCTCCTATATCAAGCTCTGGCTAGTAGGTTTGTGAAAAATGTGAAAACCCTGCCTCCTTCTGTCAGCTGGGAGACACAAAGGTTCTTCTTCGAGTGCTGGCTCGTATCGATTCCAATTAGGTGTGTGCGCGCCGCGTGCACGATTGTCGGAGAAGTTTTCTACCCTAGCAACACCCGGTGGGTCGGCCGTGGAGACCCCTGGAGCGGCTCCTTCATGGCACTGAATATATACCGCAGCCGACCCAGTGCCCCCTCAGTTCCTTCTTACCGTCCGTGATGGTCGTTGGAACTGTGGAGCGCGGCATAGCTGTCCTCCACTCTCCTAGCTTACCCGTTCTTTATAGTAGATAGTTGTTAGTTGTTCTTTATATTAGTTGTGGTTAATAGTTATAAATAGTTCCTAAATTAGCGGGGGTTAAGGGGGCTATTCCCCCCTTTTTTCCCCCCAGGCACACAGCCGGGCTCATGCCCAAGGCTCCCGGTTTTAAGCCGTGCGCAACATGTGCTAGGCCTATGCCAACGGGAGACTCCCATGACTCTTGTCTGAATTGCTTAGGGGAGTCTCACCAAACGGACAAGTGCAGGATTTGCAAGGCTTTCAGGCCAAGGATGAAAAAGGAACGGGACTTCAGACTTAAGCAGCTCCTCATGGAGGCAGCACTTAGCCCGGCTCCTCCTTCGGCGCGCCAGGTTCCGGCACCGAGCGCCTCGGTGCGTAGCGCCCCAGCAGCACCGTCCGGTACTGCACCGCGGGCAGACGCGGGGAAGGCACCTCAGCACTGTCCTCCCTCGGCACCGCGTCCACCTCAAGCCCCTGGGCGCCGGTCCCTGTCTCCGGGACATAAAAGGCCCCGTAAGACTCAGGACGCTGCTGTCCTTCAGGCACCAGCTCCCCCTGCGGGGGTAGAGCCGCACCCGGCTCCCGAACGCCAGAGGGTGCAAGGACCATCAGCACCGTTGACTCTGGCACCGGGTTTGGAACCGTCGAGTCCGGCGCAGACTGGCTCACCACCTCGTCAAGTGGTGGAGCCCTGTCTCCCTTCCACACCGGAGACATTCGCCATGGCAAGAGACCTTATAGCACTCACGGAGCCGGCGCCTTCTCAACCTGCGGCACTGCTTCGTACAGTACAGTACAGGGGCAAGCCTACCCTGATACGCCCGCCATCTCCGGGCGTGGACTTGTGGCACTGCTCCCGTTCGCGGAGCAGGTCTCGACGCCGCTCGCAGTCCCGGCACCGATCCCCATCTCGGCGCCGGTCGTACTAGTGGCACAGATCTACCTCCCGGCACCAGTCTTCTTCTTGGCACCAACCCGAGCTCCAGTACCGGTCAGAGTCAAGGCGCAGCTCCCGGCACCGGTATGAGCACCGCTCACATTCACAAAGCCGCTCCTGGCACCGAGATTACAGATGATTTTCATCATCCAGATCCAGGTCCGGGTCTCGGTACCGACATGGTCATCGGCACCGCTCTCAATCCCGGTACCTTTCACCGGCACCGCGCAGAGGTTGCTCGCCATTGGGTCGGCACCACTCGGCACCGTATCGGGATGATTCTCTGCACCCACGCTCGGCACCGCCCTGGCCCTCGAGATCAGCGTCACACTTGTCTGAAGGGGCCTCCCATTCAGCGTACCTTGCTCAGGGTCAAGATGCAGATGACTCGGGCCATTGGCAGGAGGGGGCAGAAAACCTGCGACAAGACCCTATGCATTGGTCTTTCTGGACCCCTTGGGCATATCACCAGGCTCAAGGGGCCCCAGTAGCGACCTCTCGCTCAGCTCACTCTGAGCACAGGGCTCCTGAGGCCACCATTTCCCGCCCCCCCCGGGGGTATGGAGGCCCTGGCCCCAACACCCACGCAGGAGCCAGATCCTGGTGCAGGGGATCCGGCACCTCCGAGTCCCGTGGAACCGGACCCCCATGCAGGTCCTTTACCCCCCGAGGCATTGTCCTCATCTTCCCCAGATGAAGCAGTGGCGGGTACAACACCCGCTGGCCCACCTCCTATAGATCTTCGTGCCCACCAGGATTTGTTACGTAGGGTGGCACGAAATATGGACTTACAGGCCAAGGAGATAGTGGAGGTGCAGGACCCGGTGGTGAGCATCCTTTCATCGGA